GGGGGGGGGGGTTGAGGCACAGGCTGTGCGCCTGTGTTGAGATAAGGGACAAAATGTGTGTGTGTGTGTTTGTAATAGGGGGGTGCTAGGGTGTGTGTGTGTGTGTGTGTGTGTGTAGCAGGGGGGGCATTAGGTAGGGTCATTGGTGATGTGTAGGGGGTGCATGCAGGTGCATGTGCACCCCACCTCCCCCAGCTGCTGACACTGCTGCGCCTGCCTGTGGGAGCTCCCTGCCGCCATGCCCCCACCCCTGCCTCTGGGGCCATGAGGCGTTCATGGGTAGGGTGACCATCATAGAGGACATTCCAGTTGTCTGCTGCGCTGTCCTCTGTTGACACGCAACCCAACACCTTTACATCCTCTATTTTTCTCTTGAAGAGAACAAAAATAGAGGACATACAGGTGTCCAATTTCGTATCAATATCGGACAGAGGACAGCCAGACTGTTCTCTGTGATGGCCACGCTAGTGTTAGGGTGCACAAGTGTGCATGTAGCAGGGGTGTGTGCCTGTGTGTAGGGTGTGTGTGTGCCCGCAGCTTAGGCACCTCCCTGGCCGTGGGTCCGGCGTGACGGGAGCCGCGGGGATGTTTCTGGAACACGCGGCCAAAGTGCCCCGCGTGTGTGTGTGTGTGTGTACTGGGCAAAAGAGGGAGTCCCCGCGCTTTCTCCCGGGCGGGGAGGGGCACCGTGGAAATTTCCACTTCCTGCAGCAGCAGCAACAACAGCGGCTCGCCGCCCGCTGCAACGCCCCCAGCGGGGCTCGGCGGGCAGCTAGCCTAGGCTGGGGGGGCGGAGCCGGAGGGCGGAGCCTGCACTGAGCCCAGAGCCGTTTAAGCAGCAGCGGCAGCGCCCCCGCCCCTGTGTGCCCGTGTGCGCAACCAGGCCCGCTACAGCCGCCGGTCGCCCGCGCCATGCCTCGCTATGAACTGGCTTTGATCCTGAAAGTCATGCAGAGGGTGAGTGCTGGGCCCCGCACGTCCCCTCCCTGCCCGCGCGGCGGCAACCGGCCGCTTCCTGTCACCTCCGGCCGGGCCCAGCCCGCCGGTACACGTGCGCGTGTCGGGGGGATGTATAAGGCAGGTGTTGGGGGTTTCTCTCGTCTCAGTTTCCTCCATGAATGAGTTTGAGTCAAGTTGCCAGTCGGGTTTAAGCTACATTTATTCCTTCCTTCCTTCCTCTTGTCCCCCCTTCCCGCCCCCCCATCCCCAGAGCACCTAGCCCCTGGTCCGGGCCCCTGGGGCCACCTCCGGTCGGCTCCTGGGCACAGAAGGACCCCCTACCCGACCCTTAGCCGGTGCTGACATTTGGTGGTAGCACTTTCCCCATTCTCCCTATGTGCCTGGGTTTAGGGCACCCTCCCACCCTGCCTCCCCAGTGCCTGGGGGGGGGGGCGTGGCTGCCCGCAGGCCTTGCTTGCCAGGGATGTATTTCTCCCACCTTTTGTGGAAAAGTACACCCCATGGGAGGCTGTCAGAAAAATTCCCACCCTTGCCAGCACCAGTCGAGCTCCAGGGATCCAGCTCTCAACTGCTGCCACCACCTATCTCAAGTTCTCCTCCCTTATGAGTGGGTGCAGGGGCGAGGTGAGGGGGTGCCCCTAAAACCCCGGGCAGTAAGTATGAAGGCAGCAATGAATGATTTTTTTTCTTTTTCTTGCATCTCTAATGTAGGCAGGACCAAGAGAGCACAGTGTGAGCACAAGGTGAATGGTTGGTATTCAGACTCCCAGAGTTGTGTGCGCAGCCTGTGTTTCTCTGCTATCTTTTGCTTAGCCTGTAGGACCTTTGCCTAGGCTCTTAATGCAGCAATTTTTACCATTAGCAGAGAGCTGAAGTTTGAATGCTCCCATCTGCATGCTCCCTGTTGTATTCTGGCATCTCTTGACGTGAACATGCGTATCTGTAGTAGGGCCATGTTGTTTACTTTTCTGCTCTTTATTTTCCCAGTTATTGGAGCATGTCATTGTGTAGAACATGCGCTTCATATACTGGTACATTTCCATTCATTTTGTGTGTAATTGCCACACCTCCTTTTTTTTTTTTTTTTAACTCACCATTTGTTCAGAGCCTATGCAGGCATCCCTGCGATTTGACAGAGCCCCCCCTAGTGGCCCCGTGCTTTGTGCCAAGCTTTTTTTTTTCCTTTTTTATTTTCTCCCTCCTCCCCTTGCCGGTCTAGCTACACCTTCCTTAACAACAAACTAAACTGATAAGCACTCTGTATCTGTGAGGAGGTGCAACTTCTCTCTCACCTCTCCTCCCCACACTTAACTGGCAAAGCTTCTTAGTGTAGACTTGGTCTTAATGTGGAGGCAGCATTTAGATTGGGGATCCAAGGGTTAGATGGGGAAGGGAAATATCACAAATTTGACATAATACCCAGATATTTGGGTATTCTGGCTTTTGAGGGATCTCGGGCACTTCTGTGAAGGAAGGGATATATTTACTGCCACACAGTGTTCCCCATCTGCATTTATATATCAGTTATATTGAAACACCCAAAATACTGACGCCATTTATTTTTAAAATAAGTGTAGCTTCTTAACATAATTTGCATACAACGTTTGAAATCTAGTTTTGGTGAAACCCTGAAATGTAGGGAGTTCATGTTTCTTTGTGTGGGGAGTGTGGCTGGTTAAACTTGACTTTAACTCCTTACAAATGTTGTTGCAGGTAGCATTTTGTAATGAAAGCTTTTTAAAGAGAGGTTCTGTACTGACAGTGAAGCTTCTCTAGGTGAGGTAGCTGAAGCTCAACAAATGTCTTGTTCTAACAAGTCCTATAACAAATGTTAATCATAGTTTTAAAGTTTTGTTTTTTAATGATGTTGTGAAAGGATAACTCCTTACATTAAGATTTCACTATAAAATTCAAGTTTGAGCTTATTATAAAGGGTTCTAAAATGATCTTATGCTACCTTTAATGCTAAAACCAGATACCATTTTGTTTGGTTTTTTTGGGATTTTGGTTGTATATCATTTGGTTTTCTATAATGTTCCTTCATGAAGCTGAGAATCTTTTGCACATGCCTTGTGGATTCTCACCAGGCTGCTGTTTGGATCCCCCAGGCTGTGACTGCTGTTGAGCTAGCCTTTGCCTTGTGTTGCTCTAGGATTAGCTTTCCCTTGGATTCTCTGGAATGCTTCCTGGTTGCAGGCTTTTTATCAGTTTCCCCTTCCTGGAAAGGGATCTTGTTGCATAGGACCCCAGGACTGGTGCTTACTCCTCCAGACTCCTATCTAGCATAAGTAGAAATCTAGATAGCCTGTATGAATTTCCCCTGCCTTAGTTTCGTCAGCACTTCTTAAGCATTATTTGAGTTCTGGTAGGATTCATTTAAAGAGTATTATACTCTTACCCTGCCCCCAATCCTTCTCCCCCCACAACATGCTTTCTCTTCTAGTGTACAGGTCTCTGTCTCCTGTGCGTATGAGTTTCCTTCTTCCTTATCTGGTACCACGGTTATTGGACCCCTTGTCGTGTGAAAGCATGTCCCCTGTCTTAGTTAAGCTACTTCTTTTTTCTGTGAGTCTCCCTGAGATCTTAAGTTTCTTATTTTGGGGGGAGGGGGTTTAAGACCCAGTGTTAATATCTGACTACCTATGTTTGTTTGTTTTCCCCTCCCATTCTCTGAACCCCATTCCCTTACAGAAAAGTTGAAGAAGAATGGTTTAATATAAGAGTTTTCAACCTTTTTTTAAAGGAGTGTATCCCTTCGGCTGGACATGGCATGGGACGGGGGGAAGTGGTGCGCTGTGGAGGCGCAGGGTGGTGGATGGTGGTGGCGGCCGCCATGTGTGAACTCCCTGCCCTCACATACTCCCTGGGGTGTTTTCAAGTACCCCCAGGGGTACACATACCCCCGGTTGACAACCCCTGGTTTAACATATGAGGTGGACATTCCTGTTGTCTTAAGTCGTTCCCATTTGAATGGGAACCCTCAAATTTCTCTCATGGCTTCTGCTTCCAGAGACATGACAGTATATGATTGTCTTCACGTAAGCTGCGATTGCCAAGAATACGGCTATATTGCCTCATTCATAAGTTGTATGTAGGCTTTATGACAACTGGGGACATCTCTTGGTGACTTCCAGTAGAGGTGTTGGAGGGTTTTTCTTTGTTAAAAAAGGAAATGCTCTTTTGTTTTGTTTTGTTTTAGAGACTGCTTTGCAAATTCACTTCCAAAACATAGAGGAAGAGGATGAGACAGTGCTGCTGTCTCCAGTTGGGATCCTTCTTTGTGTGAGAAACACAGAAGGCAGTAAGATACTTAAGTGTTACTGACTACTAATGAGACTGGAATATGTAGTTCCTTTTTTTTTTTTTTTTTTTTTTTACTCTAACAACACAAGGCCACAATAAAATTGGTAGGTTGAAAGACAAAGGAAGTTGTAATAGTTGCAGCTTAGATGTCTGAAGACATATGCCCTTTCCTAGAAAATTTAGTATCTGAGATTAGAATTGTTGTGAAGGTAAGTATAATACATAAAACATCTAAGGATATTTTACTTCCATTTTTTTAGAACTATATTAAGCGCAAATTATCTCCAACTGCCTCTTAAGTTGGGGATAATTAAATTTTCTTATGGACATCATAGTGAAGACTTCAACAGGAGAAGGTAGCAATATAGTCCTAATATGTTCCAATGTGCCACTGTGTACTTTGGAGAGGGGATTTTTTCAGGAAACTTTTGTGGCTCTTCTAGTCACTACTTTGAATTAGTGAGTGGTTGGAGGTGGTTTTGTCTTACACTAATGTAGTTCTGCAAACTTGCCACAGGGTGGCAGTGAGGTATCCCCATTGTGCAGCTGTTTGATGTGTTTAGCTGGCTCACCTGTCTTCAGTTAAAAAAATGTAAATGTTTTGAAACGGAACTGACTCAATAGTTTGAAAGTCAATTAATTTTAAAGATAAAGAATATTTGGGGGGGGTCAGTGTGTGTGTGTGGGTTGAGATCAGCTGGTGTGTGTGTGTGTGTGTAGTCAGTTTTTTATTTTTTCCTCCTTTGCACACTGCATACACCAGTGAACTTGGTATATTATGTAATTCGACTGTTTCAGCCAGTATATTGACTAATAGTGTGTAATACTTTTCAGTTCTGTAATATGTGCTTACACTTTAATTTTGTTTTTACTGTGTCTTTGCTTTCATCCAAGCAGGCTGGTGTATAGCAATACATTTTCTACCTGCTGTGTATAATGGCCGGCTAAGGGAAGCTAAGGATATAGGAAGTAGTGCTGTCTGACCTGACTATTATATTTAGCCACTTTCTAGGCAGTATAAACCTCTGGGGGTTGGGTTTTTTTGGTCATTTTTTGAAAAGATGGAAAAAATGAAGGACACAAGCAGACATACCTATATAATTTGTTTCTAGATCTAACTCTCCACTTTTCTCCTTTGTTAACCTCACTCTTATTTCATTATCCTGTATGCGTCTGTTTAATATATTTATGTTGTTATATACTAACTATAATTGGAGTAATATATTAAAACAGTATATATTTATTGTACGTATGTGTGTAAAATATGGCCTTTACTGATACTAACATCTTGCATTTTGTTAAAAATCAGGCAAGCTTTTCCCCCTTCTTTCACCTGCTAAAATAACCTAAGGTCCATTTTTTCTTCTCTTCAGTAGGAATATAGGCAGTGTGAAGAGTGTTTACTGTGGAAAGCAAAACTGAAAAAAATAAAACTAAATTCAGGGTCCTGAAGTTGTGAGTTTTTTGTGGTCATTTGTAGGAATGAATTCCCTAGTTTAGGTCTAGCTTGTGTGAGTTCTGTTTTCTTTTCTAATTACCCCTGATGAGCCTCTTGGATTTCTAGATCTGTATGCAGATAAACTTCTTGGGAATATTACCTTCCATGTAGAAATTCTTCTGAGGTCCCAGTGTGCATGGACCAAACAAATCTCTTGTTAAATGAAGCTATTTTTTTAAACTAAACCTTGTTGTGT